CCCTGCCGGGGATGTGCCAGCCACAGCTTCTCTGGGCAACCTGTGCCAAGGCCTCATCACCCTCACAGGGAAGAACTTCTTCCTAAGATCTCATGTAAATCTCCCCTCTGTCAGTTTAAAGCCATTAAAGTACTTCCTGCACTGCACCCAGCATTCAGGACACACCACCTTTCACATCAGAGACCAGAGGGTGGCAGCAAGCTCCCGACATAGGGACCATCACAACAGCTGTTGGCCAAATGCCATCCCCAGTGCAGCCCTGAAGCCGGTGCAGCAGCTTACCCTCTTCCCTGTGAAGCGGCGAGGCCGGGGAGTGGTGGTGTCTGGGAAGAGCTTGTCCAGCCGAGGCTCCCGCTTCTCCAGCATACCGTGGCACGAGGTGATGGTGAGCAGGTCCACTCGCAGCTTGTCCAGGGAGTGGCAGAGCAGCTCCCGGTGGTAATAGACAGAGTCAAGGGGGCTGCAGAGCGAAGGGAGATGCTCAGTGTGGGTCAGAGCCTCGGCTCCAGGGAAGCAAGTGTCTGAGTGTGCTTCTGGGCTGGATAGTGAGGGCCAGGGTGCTGAACCTTAGCCCAGGATGTTGCTGGTGGTGTCCTTAAGGACAGGGGATGCTCTCCACACCTACAGCCTGAGCTCTGCCTCCAGCTGCCTGGCTGGGACCATGTGTGTCTGTGCCTCCTCTGCTCCCTGGGGGTTCACCAACCCCAACCCAACCAGGACTGACCAGGTCATCCCACTGTAGCAGCACAACACCAGTCAGGTGGGGAAATAACCCCTGACTGATAACCCCCTGGCTCTTGGCAGCCCCAGGGAGGCCTGTGCAGGGTCACCACAGCCTGAGGAGCAGGACCACCCTTGGACTTGAGGCTTGGATGCAATGATGGTATGCAGAGCAGAGGCATGACCCACCCTGCAGTGCAGAGATCCCCCTCGTCCTGCTGACAGCCCAACTTGGGTTCCAACAGCTCCCACTGTGCCGAGGGAGCTCCTGCAGCAGGGGTTGGTCAGGATCGCCCAGCCCTGCCACCATCCTGAGGGGCTCAGGGGCCTTACACCAGCAGGTGAGTTATTGCAGACACTGCAACAGCACCGTCAGACTGCCAGATTTTGAACTTCTCACAGTTCTCCATCGTGTGACAATTCAAGAACAAACCCCTTTCAGTAAACCCTTGCTCACACCCTGTATAAGAAAAAGAATTTATGATTCCAGTGCTGTGGTTTGGAAAGCCTCCAGGACCAGGAGGGTCTGCAGGGTAAAGCTCTCCACAGAAACATCTTAAGACTGGCTCTGTTCTCCTCCCCCTTAGCCAGGCAGTAAGTTCTCCTTGGACTTCTGACACCAGATGAGCTTCCTAGCCCAATCCACAAAGAGACCAGTAGAGGAAGGGAACAGCACGAGAGAGATGCTGGGGCCTCCATACTGCCAGAAGGGAGAAAGCAACTGAGGTATTGACCTCTGAGAATCTCTTCTCCTCAAAGCAAGGGCTGACCCTCAGCCTCTCCCCACCTGGTGGGAACCAGCCCTTAGGAATGCCAGTGTAATCCAGCCCAAAGACCCTCTGGAACCCCTTGGAAGCGCATGCTTGGGGGAAGCTGCTGCAGACGCTGATGTGGAGCTGGGGTTCAGAGGAGCAAAGCCCAGGCAGATGCCAGGGAAATGGGGGTCCCAGAGACCCTGAGGTGGACACCATCATGCTTCTGCAGCAGGGGGACAGCCCAGCGGGCCAGGGCCAGGCGCAGGGGGAGCGCACCTGCTAGGAGACATGTGCCGGCACTCCTGGAAGCGGCTGTCCAGCTGCGCCAGCATCTCCTGGCACTCTGTGTAGGAGAAGGGGTAGCAGAAGGCAAAGAAGGTGGTGGCCCCACGGTGCTCCAGGAAGCGGTGCACGAAGGACAGAACAAACTGCGTCTCCACCATCTGGGATGGACACAAAGCAGAGCTGAGCGAAGGTGCGGCAGGCCCCGGAGCAGCCGCTGAGTCCATGCACCCACAGCTGTGCCATGACCACAGCCACTCGCTCTTTGGGCGCACACGAAGCAAAGCCATGCACCCAGCAGCTCCCAGCCCACTTTGCTCACATCCCCCAAATGCCAGGCTAGCTCTTTGGTCCCCTGTGCGCCCCCTCCCTGTACTGCATGTAGGTCCCTGGAGGGACAAGGAAGCCTCAGAGACTGAACAATGTTCTAATGTAGGATGCTTTGCAAAGTTAATGAGCACTGCAAAGCTCATCTGCACATTGTGTCTCTCCCTGGTGCTGGCACAGGTCAAATCAAGTGTTGTCAGGTCCCATGGCAGGGATGGGAGGCTTTCTGGCTTCTGTTCCATGGAGGCATGCCAGGGAGGTTGCACCAGTGTGCATGATGTAGGGATGACCCAGGGCATCCACAAGCGACTCCCCCTGGGGCAGCTCCTGCCAGATCACAGACAGAACCAGTAACCCCCTGTTCCAAGCCCAGACAACTTAACAGGGCTGCAAGGATCAGCTGTGATAATGGCTGTTCCTGCTATTCCCTGGGCTCTCTCCTCATGCCATTCCCCTCACGGGGGCACCAGAACCCTGACGTTGTGCAGCTCATCATAAAGAGCTGACATAGGGGAACGGAAGCACCAGGGGTGCTTCCAGCACAGTTCTGTGGTGCCCCAGCTCCTCCTCTCCCAAGCATTCAGCCCTAAGAAGGGGCTCTGACACTATCGCCAAACCCCAACCTCATTCTGCCCTGCTGCGGGCTGGAGGTCACTGGTGAGTGAGGGATGTCTGTGTCCCCAGAGCTGCCCCCTCAAATCCAGGGTCCTCTCCCA